ATAACATTGACGCAGGAGGGAGCCTCACCGCCGACTCACAACACTCATTATCATTTTGTTTATTCAAGAGGCTCTTGGCCCAGGCTGGCAGTCGGGACCCTAAAATAAATATTCTGAACTTCACTGTGGGAAGAAAATTTGAAAAACCGCCACCTTTTTCAAAATTTCTTGCTGTGGATTTCACACCTGATGATGATGATGATTGCTTGTGTTGCAGTCGAAACGTCGTGAGAATTTATATTGTTTTATATTTATATTATTGTATTGTTTCCCTTCTACGTGACTTTACCGTAAGAACCAGCAATGTGAATCCCTGCAGTCGCGAAAGCTTCAAATCTAAATTTCACTGCTGTGGAAGTTAAAGATCCGACTGAGCTCTGTCGGGCAATAGCCGAGCAGGCCGAGTGTGCCTTGCTGGCGTCACGGTCACAATGCACGCGCACAGTTGGGAATCAAACACAAAGACAAAGATCCCCCGTATAGCCTTAACAGATTGCTGGGGGCAAGTGCTGTTCGCGAGCAGCACCTGTGAATCAAAGACAAAGATCCCCCGTATAGCCTTAACAGATTGCTGGGGGCAAGTGCTGTTAGCGAGCAGCGCCTATGAAGGCCGGCACGGCACACGAGGCGGTGAGTGGCCAGTACCACGCCCGGCCGCCTTTGTCTCCCCAGTGGCGATATTTACGCATCGCAATCATATACTCATTTGAGGCCGAGTCGTCCTCGTGAATCACACACACACACACAATCATCGCCGCCTGCTTGCAGCAGACTATTTACCTATTTTAAAAGCACCGGGGTGCCGCGTACGGACAGCTGCCACTGGGGGTCCTGTCACTGGCGGTGCTAACCGCCCCCCCCCCCCCTCTTTTGAACACGTGATTGATGTCAGTCCCGTAGAGGGTGGAACGCGCGCTGGGACGCCACCGGCGAAATATCTCGGGCGATTGACTTTGCTACGTGCTCGCAAATAACTGAGTCGGCAACAACAGCGTCTTGGCCTCCACCACCACCACCCACCACCACCACCACCACCACCCACCACCCACCACCACCCACCACCACCATCCACCACCACCACCATCCACCACCACCACCCACCACCCACCACCACTCACCACCACCATCCACCACCACCACCATCCACCACCACCACCCACCACCCACGAGACTGCCGGCGTACTCGGCAGCTGTCTGTGTAACACAGCCAGCGCCCTTCCTCCTCATACTCGGACGACAGCCTTGACGCTGTGTCGCCCCACGTCGTTGCTACACTGGCGACTCGCGAAGCGTTATTGGTAAGAGCACTCGGACCACTACAACCGACGCACCTCCGATTAGCACGCTTGGTCACGTAGCGGTGCGAAGGAAGTTCAACTTGCAACAACCCGAAAATCAACACCACCACCATCACCACTACCACCACAATGGTGTAGCACACAAGGCCGTGCCGCGGCGTGCGCTGATGGTAACGTGGAGTGCGATCTGCGTGCCAACCTCGGCAGGAGGGGACGCGTTGTTGGAGAGCGAATCCCCTCCGAGCAGAACCTAGCGGAGCTCTGCATTCACAGCGCAACAAATCGTGCTGTTGGTGGTGATGCTGTTGGTGGTGGTGCTGTTGGTGGTGATGCTGTTGGTGGTGGTGCTGTTGGTCATGATGCTGTGATGATGATGTTGCCTCCGAAACGTCGTGATTTAATTTAGTCGTTTTTCGTTTATTTTTTACCTACGTGACTTTACCGACAAAACCAAAGAGTATGGATGATGCTGTTGGTGGTGGTGCTGTTGGTCGTGGTGCTGTTGGTCGTGGTGCTGTTGGTGGTGCTGTTGGTGGTGCTGTTGGCGATGATGCTGTTGGTGATGATGCTGTTGGTGGTGGTGCTGTTGGTGATGCTGTTGATGATGATGCTGTTGGTGATGATGCTGTTGATGGTGGTGCTGTTGGTGGTGCTGTTGGTGGTGCTATTGGCGATGATGCTGTTGGTGGTGGTGCTGTTGGTGGTGCTGTTGGTGGTGCTGTTGGTGGTGGTGCTGTTGGTGGTGGTGCTGTTGGTGGTGGTGCTGTTGGTGGTGCTGTTGGTGCTGTTGATACAGCAGCTGCGTTAGCAGGAGAGGTGCACAAGCACAATCGACAACTCAACTCGTTTGTGTAAATAACGACACCGTGTGTGGTCTTAAAATGAAACATAATAGACGACGTTTCGGGCAGCAAGTCCTTCATATGTATATGCTGTGCATAAAGGGTTTATGTCCGAAACGTCGCCTATTATATATATTCATCCCATTAAGGTCACACTGTTATAGAAGAGTGAGTCGTTGATATTTCTAGTGAATATTAAGCATGACTAATTACGCACGTAATTAACCTAAGTAGTATTCATTGTAATGAATTGTAAGTCAATTATGCTAAGCATGAATTACAATGATGATGATGATGATGACTATAATGATGATGATGGTTGATTAAATCGGCTTCCGTTACGTATTTCGACGTAAACAATCATATATATGTCAAATATAAATATCGTGTATATATGCACACACGCGCGGTTTTTCCCCATTTAATTAAGAGTTCACATTGTGTTGACTGCCATCAGCTGGGGGCAGCAGCATCAGCAGTCCACGCGCGCGCGTACGTATATTAATAATCGGATCGGATTTGCCCTTTCTTAGGTCTCATCGGCGGACCCTGCCTGCTCACGTGTTACGCCGCACGCGACTAAAACCAACCCTCAACTTGTAAGAGCCGCGCATCTGACCACGGCCGCGTATCTACCACGGCCAAATCGACCATCGGGTTATTTCCTTCACGGGTGTAACTGCAACGCAAATGAACTGGCTTTCCATAGATAGTCACATATCCGAGCGCGTCACATAAACTATATAAAAACCCGATATAAACTATTTTTTTATTCTACCAGCTAAGAAAGACCCACAGAACTACACAGCATAGCGCTTCTACAAAAGCGACCTGGCTGTTACAGATGATAGCTAGACATTTAAAGCAGCCAAACGCTCTAAAACGCGTGATGTTGATTCGAAATGTGGAGGAGAAAACCCGGAGGACCCTGGAGAAAAATACACGCGACCACGGCGAGAGAGAGACACGCAAACTCCAAATATACAGCAGCAGGCGTCAGGGTCGCGATCTAACCCACGACCTCCTGTATACCAGGCGAGGTAGTTAACATCTCCTAGCCACCGCGATGATGATGAGAGAGAGACGCAAACTCCAAATATACAGCAGCAGGCGTCAGGGTCGCGATCTAACCCAACCACCTCCTGTATACCAGGCGAGGTAGTTAACATCTCTACGGGGAGAGAGAGAGAAACGCAAACTACAAATATACAGCAGCAGGCGTCATGGTCGCGATCGAACCCAACCACCTCCTGTATACCAGGCGAGGTAGTCAACATCTCCGAGCCAATGTGGCGCCCCATCATATCCGCCTGTACCAAATGATCGTTTGTCTACAAGAGTAATTCGCCCGGTGAGCTCTAAGTTTTACAGCGTGAGAGCGCGTCACACACACACAACACGCGCGCCCGTGTGTGTGCGTAAGGGCCATGTCTTACACGCGTTGGCTAACGTACGGTTGGCTACGTACGGTGCGAAAAAAGTTCAGCATACACGCGCGCATGCATGTGCTGTGCTCGTAAGCGGAGGTGCAACATTTCCCGGCTATTAAGCCGAGCACATATATATAATAATGTATTTATATAATTGTCAATTAAAAATAATGCACGGCGAACCTCTTGCACTATCTGCATGTGCACATATATATAATCTATATAATTACAAATATTAAGATCCCCCGTATATCCTTAACAAACTGCTGGGGCAAGTGCTGTTAGCGAGTAACACCGATGAAAACCGGCACGACACACGAGGGGGTGGATGGCCAGCACCACGCCCGGCCGCCTTTGTCTCTTGAGTGGCGATGTTTCAACAAATGAGTACCGGGTGCTCATTTGAGGCTGATTCGACCTAGGGGAGGACCAGAACCGGTGTTGGCCGTGAGCGGGATTCGAACTCGGGCCGCCGGGTTCTTAGCGCAGCGCGCTAACCGCTACACCACTGCTCCCCCCACACACACACAAAGATCCCCCGTATAGCCTTAACAGACTGTTGGGGCAAGTGCTGTTAGCGAGTAGCACCACCTATGAAGGTCAGAACGGTACACGAGGGGGTGGGTGACAAGCACCACACCCAGCGGCATTTGTCTCCCCAGTGGCGATGTTTTTACACGCTGCACCGGGTACCCATTTGAGGCCGAGTCTGACCTAGGGGAGGCCCAGGACCGGTTCAGATAATCGTCACCGGTGTTGAGCGTGAGCGGGAATCGAACCCGGGTGGCCGGGTTCTAAGCGCAGCGTAGCGCTAACCGCTACACCCACCGCTCCCCACACATACACACACATTCGTACATACACACACGCACGGACCTACAACAACCCCAGCCATGGATGAGTAAACAGTTTACGTGTCGCCGCATGCCCCTCCAATAAACACAAAGACAAAGGTCACCCGCGTAGTTCTGAAGAGTCAGTTTCGGGCAAGTGCTGTTGGCGAGCGCCTATTTAGGCTTGAATAACGAGAGAACTCAGCGCGTTCGTCAATAAAATGCAGTGCGTGGTCTCAAAAGTACAATATATTTGCGATAGACGACGTTTCGCACAACGGCCCTGCTTCAGAGCTCGTTCGTCAATTCACCGCTCGGATTCGATGAAGGGAAATTGTCTCGAAAAATCACCTCGTTATTATTTTTATTAAAATAGAATTTTCCTTTTAAGGCTACAGAGTTTAGAGTTGTGTTTTGTTGTTGTTGTTGTTAAATGTGCTTTTGCACCACAACCACCGTCGCAGATGACTGGGGTTGGGTGTCCGTGTGGTTTGCGCACCGCGACTCTCAACTCAAAAGCGCCTGGGTTCAATTCACCGGTCACGGGCAACAGACACGCGCGTGGACAGACGCACAGACAAAGAGCCCTTCTGGCCCATGCACAAATACAAAAGTGCCCCAGGTAGACAATTAGGCTGTTAGGCTGTTCGGGGGCAAGTGCTGTCAGCGAGCAACTATGAAGGCCGGGACGGTACACGAGGTGGTGGGGTTGGTTAGGACCACGCCCGACCGCCTTTGTCTCGCCAGTGGTGATATATACACACACACACTGCACCAGATACTCATTTGAGGCTGAGTCGACCTAGGGGAGGCCCACGACCGGTTTAGGCAATCGTCACTGGGGTGTTGGCCGTGAGCGGGAATCGAACTCGGGTCACCGGATTCGTAGCGCAGCGCTACCCACTACACTACCGCTCCCCCACACCTACAACATACAACACTCGTACACACGGCACATACAACGCTATACAACATATACACCCCACACGCTTTCACATGCAATACACACCACACACACTGTACACCATGCACACACAACACACACACACACATGAACACAAACACACACACACACACAGCATGCACACGCAGCACACACACACAGCACACACACACACAGCATGCACACAGCACACACACACACAGCACACACACAGACACACACACACACACACACATGCACACACAGCACACACACACATAGCAATGCACACACAGCACGCACACACAGCATGCACACAGCACACACACACGCATGCACGCAGCAACAACACACAGCATGCACGCAACACACAACACAGCATGC